CAGCATGGATTTGTAAAGAACAAATCATGTCAAACCAATCTGATAGCTTTCTTTAATAGAATAACGAGTCTTGTGGATAAGGGAGAAGCAGTGGATGTAGTATACTTAGACTTTAGTAAGGCATTTGATATGGTCTCACATGACGTTCTTATCAATAAACTAGGTAAATACAGCTTAGGTGGGTGCATAACTGGCTGGATAACCGTACTCAGAGAGTAGTTATTAATGGTTCACAATCCTGCTGGAAAGGCATAACAAGTGGGGTACCGCAGGGGTCTGTTTTGGGACCAGCTCTGTTCAATATCTTCATCAACGATTTAGATATTGGTATAGAAAGTACGCTTATTAAGTTTGCAGATGATACCAAGCAGGGAGGGATTACGACTAATCTGGAGGATAGGGTCATAATTCAAAATGACCTGGACAAATTGGAGAAATGGTCTGAGGTAAATAGGATGAAGTTTAATAAAGAGAAATGCAAAGTGCTCCACTTAGGAAGGAACAATCAGTTTCATACATACAGAATGGAAAGAGACTGTCTGGGAAGGAGTATGGCAGAAAGGAATCTAGGGGTCATAGTGGACCACAAGCTGAATATAAGTCAGCAGTGTGAGGCTGTTGCAAAAAAAGCAAACATGATTCTGGGATGCATTAACTGGTGTGTTGTGAGCAAGACACGAGAAGTCATTCTTCCGCTCTTCTCTGCGCTGGTTAGGCCCCAATTGGAGTATTGTGTTCAGTTCTGGGCACCGCAATTCAAGAAAGATGTGGAGAAATTGGAGAGGGTGCAGAGAAGAACAACAAGAATGATTAAAGGTCTAGAGAACATGACCTCTGAGGGAAGGCTGAAGGAATTGAGTTTGTTTAGTTTAGAAAAGAGAAGATTGTGGGGGGACATGATAGCAGTTTTCAGATATCTAAAAGGGTTTCATAAGGAGGAGGGAGAAAACTTGTTCATCTTGGCCTCTGAGGATAGAACAAGAAGCAATGGGCTTAAACTGCAGCAAGGGAGGTTTAGGTTGGGAAAAAGTTCCTAACTGTCAGGGTAGTCAAACACTGGAATAAATTACCCAGGGTGGTTGTGGATCCTCCATCTGTGGAGATATTTAAGAGTAGGTTAGATAAATGTCTATCAGGGATGGTTTAGACAGTATTTGTTCCTGCCATGAGGGCAGGGGGCTGGACTCGATGACCTCTCGAGGTCTCTTCCAGTCCTAGTATTCTATGATTCTGTGATAGTCAACTTAAAGTATGCACTTGCAGCTTTCTGCTGTAGTGTAGATGTAGCCTCTGTGACTTGTCTTCCTCATACCATATAGTAGTGAGTGCCAATGCTATACTATGCTGTTGTAGGCATTTTGTAGGGCACATAAAATAACTACATTTCACTCCATTCAGGTGTTTGGTACAATGGTGGCTCTATATGGTGTACCAAGTACAAACTACGGTATGTTTAAATAAAACAGATCTTGGTTTTGCAGATTCAAATTCTGTGTTAGTTGCAGGGCACTTGCACATGAAATGTGTCTAATACGTATTATCTATGCATGAAAAATCTTCAAGACCTTAATTTGTAATGGGATTGAATTATTCCCTTACATCCATGACAGTTTCAAAAGTTGTAAGTGAGAGCAGAATTTGGCTCTTGTGGAAGTGCAAATCAGTCCTTGCACCTCTATATCTCCTTTTTCCCCCTTTTCTTTCATTGTATGCTTTATCTACATAACAAAATTCAAGGGTCACCTGATGAAATTAATAGGCAGCAGATTTAACACAGACAAGAGGAAGTACTTTTTTATGCAACACACAATCGACCTGTGGAACTCATTGCGTTGGGATACTGCAAAGGCTAAAAGTAAATTCAGGTTCACCAAAGATGTTGTTATATACCTGGAGGACATTATCAGAAATTAGCAAAGAGGGTCAGCATGCAACCCCTTTCCCAAGGCAGCTCTTAACCTCTGCAAGAAGCTAGAGGTAGAAGCTAGGGTTGGATCACTCCAGAACTGCCCTGTTTTGTATGCTCTCCCTGAAGCTCTGTTGGAGACAGGATATGAGATTAGATGGATCATTGGTCTAAGACAGCATGGACATTCTTATGTATAAAGTCCTACAAGGATACAAAATTTTGTATCCGCATCTACATTTTTATTCACAAAAATGAGCTATCCACACCCACGGCTATAAAGCAGATATATGCAAATTTGCAGGGTTCTAGATACTAATTGGTATTTGCATCTGTATCTGCAAAAATGAGCCACAGATATCTGCATCCATATCCGTGTATGCTGATACCTGCAGATATCTGTGGATTTGCAGGGTTCTACTTATGTACTCCTCTTTATTTCTTTATGGTCCAAGTCGTTCCCCAGTATCTTTTCTAATCCTGTTTTCTAAATTGGCCCATCAATCTGTTCCTCCCTACACACCCAACATCCACCTTCTTACACACCTTCCACCTTGACTTCATGTTGCATACGCACCTTCTTCAGTGGAGTGCATGGAGCATCTTAATATACAGAGACCTAAACTTCAGTGAGGGGTCCCAGTGTTCAGAAATCAGTGCTACTTGAAAAGGCAAGACCTTACTCATCACCCCAGCTGCTGGGATTTCTACCAGGTTGCTGCCCCTAAACATTTTTTGGCTGCTCCATGTTATTTTTGTAGATACCGGAAGGTGTTTTTAAATGACTGAAATGCTCCCTGCCACCCACACACACAGAGCACCCTAGGCACCAGGGAAGGATCTTTCTCTCTAGGCTTTCCTCCTTCACCCCCAAATTTCCAGGTACCTGAATACTGGAGATGATTGGGGCTATGACCCTCTGTTTTGGGTATTTACCTTATCAGTAAACAACTCCAGTGTCTATTTGTCTGATCTAGGCTTTCTCAACCTGCAACACAATTGTTGCTAGTCTGATTACTCCCCAGAGATTTCTGAATCGCGATAGGTAAGAATGGCAAAATGACCAACAGCAGCAGTAGAGATACTGAAGCTGTCAATGTGCAGACTAAAGGTGACAGTGTTATGTTTGTGATGCCTACAAAAAATAGAGCCAGGCAAAGGGGAAAATATTTTTCCCTGTCTGCTGAGCTATTTTTAATATTTTTGAAAAGTCAAAAAGCAGTATTTTAAAGGGGAAATTTCTGACTTCCTCTTTTACAGATAAAACTTAGCTGCTTACTCAGGTGGTATTCTCACATATTTTTACGAAAGTGATTATTGGTGTGGCTGAGAATAGACACGCTTGTATTTGCATAATAAAACCTTGACAACTGAGTAGGCTTTAGGCCTCTGAACTTGAGTATTTTATGGTTGAAGTAAGCTATGTATAGTACAGAGAAATATCCCCTTTTTCTCGCTAAGCACTGCACAAATATTAGCATATGAAATGAGAGCCAAATTCACACGTCTAGGATTGCATATAACATTAGTCTCATAGAGCTACCGATAAGAAATAACTGGAATAAATTATAATCCTTCACTGACATGAGAGAGTTCGATTTTATTTGAAGTGTCTTCCTCATGAGTATTAAATTTATTGAATTTGGCACAGCCATCCATCCAGTTACTTCCTCAACAACTCCTAAAAAATTTAAAACTTTGCCTATGTGTTACAAGGATAAAACTTTACTTCTGAATCTGCACTCTCTTCACCCCCTTCCCGATTTTTGGGGTCTCAATGGTCTTTTCATCAGCAAACCATCTTTGCTAAGTTAATTCTACAAGTAGAGGATCATATTTGCCCAGTGTCATTACATGTACAGCCAGATTATTCAAACAGAGCAGAAAGTGCCTGTCCTGGAGATCTTACAGCCTAGAGATAGGTCTACCTTTGAGCTGGCGGTGTAATTTCCAACCCAAGGACACACACCCTAGTTCTGATGGAGCTAGTGCACAAAAAATATAGAAAGGTAGCTGCAGCAGTAGGAGGGGCTGTGCTTCTGAAAGCTCATGATACCAGTACATGTTTTGTTAGTCTTTAAAGTGCTCCCAGACTATTTGTTATTTTTTAAGTTTTTGCTAGTTGTGTAGTCAGTGTTGTTAACTCCTCCTACATTTCTCACAATGGCAGCTATATTTCTACTTTTAGTATGATGGGCTATGTCTCCTTGTAGAAATCTTTCTTCCAGGTTTTTTATATAACCTATTAATCTGTTAGTGTTCAGAGTCAAAGAATAAAAGATTATACAAATGCAGCTGAGTTTGCTTTACAATTTAAAATTTAACTTGGATGGAAAGGTACATTTGAATTTGAAATAGAATATTTACTGACACTATTCCCTTAATAAAGCCTCACTTTTTAGTCTTCAATCCAAATAGCTTCCTGTGTATCACATATACTGTTCTTCCAACACTACTGTCGTCCTTTAAAACAAAGCAGCCTGTACTGTGTGTTGGGTAAAACCAACAGTGTTATAGTTAGGAAATGAAGTTGTGGAGTGCTACACCAGATACATCACCCATAAATCCAGCTTTTTGAACTAAAATGTAATATTTTTTTTTTCATCGTGGTTGGCTATTTTTGCGTCTGATGAAATTTTCATGCACAGCTCTAGAACAGAACAAACCAAAGGGCTGAGATTTTAGTATGTAAATAGTGATATTGGGCACTTGCTTTGATAACATTCTAAGGAGAATAGACAGTGAGTTGAAGTAATGATTCATATAGTGGTATGAGGAAAGAAAGCCATGTGTTTTTAGAAAAAGCAGATCATTCTGGCAAAGACATTTGTCAGTGTAATTTAATTGAAATGATGTGCTAATTTGCAGAAAAAGGTGCTGATGTTTTTAATAGTGTCCAGTTATAGGAACATGGGAACTAAAATTGCATTTGTACTAGTGGCACAAGAAAGGATCAAGGTCAGTAAGTTCAGAGAGCTAAATGTCACACTGTAAGGCTAAGAATAGGCATAGAACACTAGAGTGCTGATTCAGATAGTAATTTTAGTGCAGTCTTTTTTTTTCCATTTAGAATTCCAGAGTTATCTCATTTGAACTGTAAGGTTAGGCCTTCTGTTTTCAACATGGTTGATCAAGAGTGGACTTCTGCAACATTTCATCTTCCACAAACTCATGCATCCATTTCTCCTGTCCCTCCCTATTCCAGAGAACAGCCCATCTTCACCACCAGAGCACATGTCTTCCAAATTGACCCCAGCACCAAGAAGAACTGGGTTCCTGCAAGCAAGCAGGCTGTAACTGTTTCCTACTTCTATGACAGCACAAGAAACAGCTATCGGATTATCAGTGTGGATGGAGCCAAGGTAGGAGGTTGACAGATACATCTGGCATGTTTATTGATTGGAGAGCATCGTGTGATGCTGCTCAGCATTAACTGGTAATAGATATGGAGGGGCCAGCCTACAGAGACAATTGAATAAATACTTAATTTGTATGTAATTCACTCTGTTTGTTTCTACTGTTAAAGCTTTGAGTGCAGAAATGTAAGGGGGTGTGTGGAATAATAAGTGGCTTTCTGAACACAATCGTATTTGTGGAGGCAAGTCTATGGCAATTAAAATAGCTTAACACTATTGACATCTTGGCAGGCCAATAGTTTAGTGTGAAATTCTGGCTAGTATTTGGCAGAGCCAGGGCCCTCTGATTGTGCCTTAAAATATCATCTATTAAAGATGCATCTGAATTTTTGTGGCAAACCCCTATTTTTAAAGGGCACAGTGAGAGGCACACACTCAGACTGGAGCGATTAGCTTTGAAGGGAAAGGATTGCTCACCCTGAGGATAAAATAATAGAACTTCAGTGAGAAATTATGCCCTCCAGCCTTTCCTTGATAAACTTGTCACACTGCTGGTTATTTTTTTTTTCCTGTTTGCAAGACATAGTCTGCTGTTGTAATTCTCAGCCCCATGCAACATTCCTCCTAGCACAGTGTGAAAAACTGAAGAAACTACACAATGCAGCAGCTCTTCTCTTCCCCTTTCTTTTGTAATAAATAGGTAGGGATTTATTGTGTCCTTACAAAAATATCGATATCTTCTCGGTGGGAGCCTCAATGTGCATTTGACACTAGAATTTAACCCCTTGCAAGTATCCTTAGAAAGGTCTAAACTTGAACAGCTAGCATTTACCACCTAATTCAGTGGCCAGTGTTAGCAAAACATAGGTTGTATTCTAAGTTGTATTTTTCCCCCTTCTTCATTTTTATATTAGTCTTGCTAAAAGTGGAATAACTTCAGTGACCATTTTATTTAAAATATTTATCTCTTTAAAATAGATTATGGGGTGAAGTTTTATTTTGGCATTAATAGAAGCCCACATACATTTCAGTTACTGTAGTTGGGGCAGGATACATCTCTTGATGCTTGTGTGCTTCCCCGTGGTGCTTTGTGTCTTTTGAAAGAACCTGGGCATAGTTCACCAAAAGACACTAAAAAGAGAGTGAAAAACCTGTTGGTGTTAGCGTGCACCAAATTAATCTGAGTCTTTTAAA